GTTTTGTAACTTCTTAAATTAATGATTCACGATGTTTGATGAAATGGAAAGCACATGCTCCCTTCTGATATCCTCATCTTCGACAAAAAACCTGCTACGGAACTACCGAGCAGGGGCAAAAATACGATAAGTTTTAATAAGATTATTTTCTGTGTTTGTCTTGACACTAGCTCTTGTTTTCACCTAAATAGGCCTATGCCTGTCTCTCCCCATCTCTAGCTAAGTTTCTATATTAAACATTTTTTGTGTACTTATTTCACATTGAAAGTGATTAAACAATAGCACATGCATGCCAATAGGACTAGAAGATAAATAACATATGTTAAAACTATTCGTGGTCTCTTGTTCATGGTGCAATTCTGAGGTGTAATGTTTAGTTGCATACACACTTATCATTTCAGATTTTGTGTGTAAGCAATTACTGTCACCATCCTTGTAATATGCCTGTAAGACTGAAACCATGTTCATTTATTTTCTATCATGTTATAGTTTGGAGTTGCTCTGTGGTCCTGATGGTGAGCTTCCTGAGAAGTTGAGAAACTTGGAACCTCGTCTTATAGAGCATGTCAGCAACGAGATTATGGACCGAGACCCCAATGTCCGCTGGGATGATATTGGTACAGGAAGATGATAAAAACATGTTTTGGTGCAGTGCGTATAATAATCCCACTTGCATCTTGAGTTTCTCATCATGAGTTATTGCTGTGCAGCTGGTCTGGAGCATGCTAAAAAATGTGTAACTGAGATGGTCATTTGGCCATTGTTACGTCCTGACATTTTCAAAGGCTGTCGTTCGCCTGGGAAAGGACTTCTTCTATTTGGCCCACCCGTAGGTACCCCTGTCCATTTCGACATTGAAGATGATATATGTCACTGTCTATGTTTCTTAGTTCTGTAATCTACTGCATTCTAGGGAACTGGTAAAACGATGATTGGAAAAGCTATAGCTGGAGAAGCAAAAGCAACTTTTTTCTATATTTCAGCCAGTTCATTGACAAGCAAGTGGGTTAGTTCTCCACATCTCTGCTTCCGTTCACAGTGATATTCGTGAAATGTAGGTCAGTGCTTTTGTTCCGCTGCAGATTTAACATTCAAACGAGTGTAAATGCAGATTGGCGAAGGTGAAAAGCTAGTGAGGGCCCTTTTTGGAGTTGCAAGTTGCCGCCAGCCTGCAGTGATATTTGTAGATGAAATAGATTCTCTATTATCTCAGGTTTGTTCATATATGTTGATAAGCAGCCATTTTATCGATGTATAAAATGGCCTGGGAAATCAATTAAGAGTGATTCACGAAAAGACAGTTTGTAGCATGTTTTCGCATTTTTGGTTTCCCTAATGTAACATTGTGATAAAAGAAACAAACTCTGACCTTTTGCCACAGCGTAAGTCAGATGGTGAACATGAATCGAGTAGAAGACTCAAGACACAATTCCTGATTGAAATGGAAGGTTTCGACAGCGGCAGCGAGCAAATTCTCCTAATAGGTAAAATTTGGAACAGCCAAGTTTGAATCTTGTGGGGTTTGTGAGAGTACTTATGTTATTGCTTGTTTTTGTTTGGCCAGGAGCAACAAATAGACCCCAAGAGCTCGATGAAGCAGCGAGAAGACGACTTACCAAGAGACTCTACATTCCTCTTCCTTCATCTGGTGAAGAATGATAAACACACTTTTTCATGTCATTCCCTCGTTTTGTTCAGAAATACCGTCCTTACATGGTTCTGTTTTTGTTATTCTAGAAGCAAGAGCATGGATTATACGGAATCTCTTACAGAAAGATGGGTTGTTTACACTATCGGAAGATGATATGAAGATCATATGCAACCTAACTGAAGGTAAATTTAGCACTAGAACTCTGAAACACTATAGAATTGCTGGAATTTTTTAGTCCTAAAAGTCCCAAGAACACAACCCAACAAATGCAAATATATATACTCATGCTAGCTTTTCTTTAATATGCACTGCAGGGTACTCGGGATCAGACATGAAGAACCTGGTGAAAGATGCAACTATGGGTCCATTAAGGGAAGCTCTCAAACGAGGCATAGACATAACAAATCTGACAAAAGATGACATGGGTCTTGTGACTCTTCAGGTAAACCCCCAACGTAGAGTTTGAGATATTATCATTCTTCCGGGGTTAAAATTTTAAATTGATGTTACGTTAACTCTTGGAATACACATTTAGCTAAAAGATATATTTTTGTTTTTTCGTCTCTGTTTCATCAATGTGGTCGTGATGCAGGACTTTAAAGACGCATTGCAAGAAGTAAGGCCTTCCGTTTCTCAGAACGAACTCGGAATCTACGACAATTGGAACAATCAGTTTGGTAGTTTAAGCCTTTAAGACTGAGGTTGGTGAATTATACGATCTTATCACATATTTATCTTTGAGCTAAGGGCCCTTTTGTTTTCTGGATTATACATTTGCGTTATCTATCACAGTTATAGAATATACAAACAACACCACTATACAAATCCAAGTCTCTTTTTTCCCCCCCTGCTTTGATCCTGTATTGTCCCTGTTTAAGAATTAAAGAGAAACCTTGAACGAAGAACCACAAAAGAAGAAACTCTAATTCATATAGGAATGTGTGCTTATATGAAACTTACCTATACATGTTTGCTTCGTTCTTTTCTTCCTTTCCTATATTCTACAACACCTCTAAACATTCTGCACCGTGCTTATTCGATTTGCCCGTTTCAGGAGACTTCTGTATTCAAGACTCCTGGACCATTCATCAATCTCGCGTGCACGGAGGACCGGCAATGGATGCGACAATTGACTAGTCTGAGCATTTCTGTAAAAAGGAAAAATATGTATCAGAAAGAAGACTAATCAAAAACTCTACCGCCGCTTATGTATATTTATCACTCTCTCTCACCTTATGTACCAGCCCAAGGGGCTCGAAGAAGCTTTGTCATATGAACGGGCTTGTTCTAGAAACGCATCAACGTTTAGCTGATCGGCAATTGATGGACATCCTCCAGCTAACTTCATCAGAACGGATACAACAACCTCTTGGAAGCCACATGAGAGAGATTATAAGAAGAAACATCACTAGGCATTTCACGTCTAACATGAAGCATTCTGGTTTTATATTATCTTCCATGATTTTAGAATTGGTACCTTTGGGTCTTGGGCCACGAGAAGTGCTGCACGGTCACAAGTCAGCTCTGCTGAACGGAGCCAACGAAGTAACTGCTCTTCCAAGGTTCGAGCTATCATTTGCCCAAAAGCTACAAAGAACAGAATTCAACTTAGTACTGTAAAATTTAAAACTTGTGTTGGCTCAGATTTTCGGACTTAAGTCCCTATAAGTTTGTCAGGCCGACACAGAAGAGTGAAGCACCTACCAGGAACTGTATAAGCCCCAAGGGTAAGAATATTTGCAAATGTGAGCCACACGCCATGATCACACTTCAGATGGCCTAGTTCATGAGCCAAGACAGCCTAATTTTGAGGTAAAAACTGTCAGAATTTGGTGAAATTAGCGGATATGTGACACTAAAAGTCCTTATTGGCCAATATTAGTATCCATGGTTAGCTTCAAAACTGTGGTTAAGGACATGAACCTGTAGCTCCGCGCGAGTCAGAAGTTCGATAAGGCTGGTGTGGACGACAATGAAAGGCTTTTTACCGCTTATTGCCAGTGTATACGCGTTTGGAACAGGACTCTGTCGGACATAGAGATCAGGAGCCTCTATGTTCAATATCTCAGCGGCCTCGACCAACAAACCGTGAAGATCAGAAATCTGAGACAGAGAATACAACAAACATTATGTCTCGTTGTTAATTTATAAATATAAAATGTCCACAAGAAATCAATCCCTCAGCTAACCTGATTCTTGGAGACAAGAACAGAAGTCCCAATGTTCTCAAGAAGCATGATCTGTTCCGTCATTGACCCTACAACAGTCAGATAAATCAAAATTATCTCATCAAAGCCTTTGTGCCAAGAAACAAGAAAGGACTACTTCTTAAAACATTTTACCTAAAAGAGCTTTCCCGAATTCGTTCAACCCAGGAATAGCCCTCAGTAACAACGTGTTCTGCATCAAAACACACTATTATATTCAGCTCAAGCTGCGAATCAAACTTTAGAATTCCATCAAGCAGCTTATCAGATCATTTCCAAAAGCAAACCATGCGAAGAACAAAACAGGATGATTAACGAAGAAGTACTCATAGTAATTTTAACAACCTGCTTATCCAAAGGATGCCGGAAATCATCGGCATCGAGATCTTTAAACAAGAGAGGAGGCACGGCTCTGCAAATCGGAACCCTAGCCCTCAATCTTCCCACCTTCTCCGAACGGAAACCGATGGAGCTCAGTGAACGGCGACCAGAACTAAACACTTTCGGTTGTCTGTATCCCAAACGAGGAGACAATTCGCCGCTCTGATGGTAACAGAGGAACATGACCGGAGCTGAGACTGAGACAGCCATTAAGAATAAGAGAGAGCGAGAAGAAGCGACGGGGGTGCGTAGGTTAGTAGCGGTAGGCTTTCTATTCTACGCCGCTTTGCTTTCCGAAGAGAGGAACTGAGGATTGATTATATATTTTGGTCTCTGCGGTATTCGTTTCGGAGACGAAAAGCGTTTGCCGTCCACAACCGTAGTTTAATGGTGAGCATTTGACGCGCCTTCGTTTTCCCGTTGACCGTTACCATCCTCTCCCTCCTTTTTAACGTCGTCGTTTTATATGACCACTTTCACTCCATGATGGGCCTGATTTTTCATTTTATGGGCCTCCATATTTTTCTATTATTCAAATAACATCCACTATTCGCCGGCTTTCGTCCGGGCTTTACTCAGAACGATGGCTTTTAGTCCGGAGTTTCTAACGCCGTCGTTTTATATGACCACTTTCACTCCTTTGTGGGCCTAATTTTTCATTTTATGGGCCTAAATTTGTTTCTATTTTTCAAATAACATCCACTATTATTCACCGGCTTTTGGACCGGACTTTCCTCAAAACGACAGCATTTTGTTATTTGAATAGATTCAATGTTAAACGGCACGATGTTCAATGCAGAAACGTTATTTTGAGGCCAAATGTCAAATATGGGCTTCAAATACATTCATAAAGGCCCATTTCATAAACAGCACGTAGTTTGTCTACTTTTCACTTGCGATATTCGGGTTAGCTGGAGATTCTGGAAAAATCCTCCATCATCAGTGATTCCTGTTCTTGATCTATCGATCGATTATGTACGTATGAGATAGTCAAATTTGTTTCTTTCGGATTCGTACAATCTGAATACATAATCTCCTCTTTTAATATCTCGCTCTATGGTTTTGGTAATGGTGGCTTAATTCTAATCAGGAAACACTCAGTGAATCCGCCTCCAACACCAGATAAAGATGTGGCTGAAGCTTTCGAGAAGGACGAGCTCACGCTTCGAGAAATCATCAACATCAAGGTTTCCGATTTTTTTTCCTCTGCGAAATCACTATATGTTTTGGGTCAACCACTGCTTTGGGTTTTTGATGCAAGCTTTTGAGAATTCATCGTCTAGTTGGTGGAGAGTGGAGAGAAAGAGAATCTGATGGAGCTCGTGAGAGATAGATTGGTGGAGTGTGGTTGGAAAGATGAGATGAGAATTGCTTGCAGGTTCTTTCTTCATCTTACTTTTTTTTTTTTTTACAATTGACCTTAAATTACGCATTCGTTTGAATATAACTTTGATTCAGATCAATCTTTTAAAAAGTTGGTTCAGTTGTTACTGGTGACTGATTAAAATGTTTCGTTCCCGTTTCTGAAAGTTTAGCCAAACGTTACAAAAAGGCGTCTGTATCCCTTTGACTATAGGTTAAAGCATACTTCTCCAGGAAAAATGCTTATGATTGGTTTTGTAGAGGTTTTGAGAGTTTTGAAGTAGTTTGTTGTTGTTGTTGTTGGTGGAAAGTAAAGAAGTAAACTTTTCGTTTGTTCTGATAGATGAATTGAATTAACAAGTGAAACTAGCTTTGTCTAGAAAATGGGTATGGGTTATAGCTACATTTGAAGCTCTCTTTTGGATTGCAGGGAGCTTGTAAGGAAGAAAGGGAGAAAAGATGTTACAGTCGATGAACTAATACGAGTGATCACTCCAAAAGGCAGAGGTAAAAATGATGAGCAAACACTTTTAAGATGAAACCGGGACACAGAGAAACAGGTTCGTTATCCGAATATTCGTGTTGTTATAACGCTAGAGTTTGTTTCGTGTAATGTGGCAGCTTCAGTACCAGATTCTGTGAAGGAAGAGCTGTTGAACAGAATTCAGAACTTTATTCTATCAGCTGCTCCTTGATGGATGGTCTCTTGACAATTTGGTGGTGGTTTCTTCTCGTAGCCAGCACTAACCAGAGAGAAACCATAGGTTTTGTGTAATGTATCATCATCTTTGCTGTTGCAGAATCAACTTTCCTGCTTCAGCTTCTCTTTGTATCAAATGGCTATCCTCAAGAAAATGTTGTCTCAATAAAGGCTTTTTCTTATCAAACATTCTACAAAATATGTATAAAACTCCCTGAAAGCCCTAATTCTGCTAAATATAAAAACATTGTACAGTACTTTTTATTATTTTTTCCCTAAAATTACCACATTGTCTTTGGAAGTTTCTTTGTTAATCCTCCCACAAATTAAAGTTATTTTGGAAATGTTTGTTTTACTAGAAAACACATGATTTCGAATACTTTTCTGCAGAACCAAACAAGAAACTACCAAGTTAGATCATCATACCATAACTCAAATGCTTAAAAGTTAAACTTGTGTCATTAATGAAACTTTTTTCACCTTACAAAAGCAAACACAAAACAGTAGCTCATATCATTTTTCCGTTTGGCTCTGTTTTAATCTCTCTTTCTCTCTACATCTTCTTCTACATAAATCTTTCTTTCAAAAGAGTATCGAATCTCTCACAAACACAGACACACTCACACATTTAGACACAACACGAACGAGAGTGGTCGCTTATTCGGCGAAGCCTCTTCACTTTTGCTTGCCGTAAGACACACACACATACTCGTCCTTTCTGAGTACACTAAATCCCCAAAGCTTACGCTCTCGTGGTATTATATATATATATATAAAGATAGATTTCAGACAAAACCTCCCCTTTGCAACGTGGCATTGCATGGTCGATCGGCTTATGCAGAACCAGCTTGTTCGCAGAGATCTAGCAGATCCAATGTCTACAGCAAACATCATAGTTAACCCGTAATCAGTTTACAGAACAGTCCATAACACAGTTCTCCATTGTAAAGGTTCTCTAGTTAAATCCAAACTCAAAATCTAATGGTTAATCAATTTCCAACTTTAGACTTAGCCGGGAGCTGTCAATTTTACTACTTCAGACACAAATTAGAACCTTTGATCTGGGACAAGTCTAAAATAGTCTTTCAAATTGGATATGGTTTTTACCCATGTGTTCTTATATGGTGATTTACTTTCATGAGATCATTCAAGCATTATTTTTTTATTATGTTTCTTGTTTCTGATATTCACCAAAAGTATATGGGCACTCACCTCAGGAACAGAGAGCTCAAGGCGGAATTTTGGACCATCATAGTGGTGAAGAACAGGCCTGAACGAATCCTCTTCCAAGGCTTTGCAGATTTTCCTCACTCTGATTCTTACCTGTTAAGATTCAAGAGAAAGAAGTCGAATTGGCACAAGATATCAAGATGAAGACTGAAAGGATGCGAATTGGCACAAGATTTGATGATGAAGACTAGATCATTGTGATTCTAAGTTTCACCTGAGCCGGAAATCTTGACTCTCCTTTGCACTTTTTGTCTTCCCAAGCAGTTGCATCAATATTAGTACCTCCAAAAGTTGTGGCCTAAACCAGGAAAATCAAATTGTCAGTGAAGGGTAATGCCAAAACCATTGCTATGATATGAGACAACAGAAGAAGAAGCACGAGAACAAACCTCAAAGATACCATGTAGCTGGTGAGTAGTGTAATTGTACAGAAACAGAGGCAATCCAGGAGTTATCGCCCGAACAGAGTCTCTGTATCTTGGAGGTAAACCTGACAAATGACACAAGAATTATAAGTAATGCGAAGGGGCAGCAGATTTTAGCCAAGCAAGAATTATTTGGTTGGAATCTAAAATTCAGTAAAAAACACAGAGAAAGCCGTATTGGATATTACCAAAGAGGTGACGTTTCAAGTCTTCCTGCATGGTATCGTTGTTGCAAACAAAGATGTAGCCACCGAGCACTTCGTTCCTCGGCAAAGTCTCCGAAGCAGGCAGGGTTTTAAACCTCTTGTCAACAGCCAAATTCGTATTTGCATTATCATTGTTGTTGTGCTTGTTATTGACCAGCTCCTTGTTAGCAACGATATTGCCACTATACTTGTTCGCTTTCGCGTTGCCTGCACTTTTGAAGTCATTCTTCTGGAAAACCGTGTTCATGTTGTAGACGTTGCTCTGCATCGAGGCCTTGCCCATGCCTTCCGCATATTTGGCGTCCAAGTTCAACATGTTGAAGTTAAGGTTGTTCTCCTGGAAACTAAACTTGTCGCTTGGCCTGAACTCAGTGTAGTTTTTGGAGAGGTCAAGGTTGTTCATCCGTTCCGCTTTCGTCCTGGTTTGCTCAGCTAGCTTCGTCGCAACCGTGGACCATTTGTGATCCTCTGATGCTCTTGACTGACCTCGGAGCTCATCACCCAATTGCCAGAAGCTGTCCATAGCTCAAAATCTAGCAGATGCAAACAAACAAAGAGATTATGTTACACTATTGCAGACAATTTACAAAAAAAATGAAAAAAAACAAAAAAATAATTAGATGGTCGTGTAAGCAGAGCAAATCAACACAATACCATAATTTCTTTGAATTCATATCACCCGGACTCGAAAGAGCTTATAATATCGCATCGACATATGTTCAAAAACGGAAAGTTTGAAGATGAACAAACACCAAAGTTTTCTCTCTTATTTTCAAAATCACTTCACAGAAACAACCAAATCGAAGCTCCTCCAGTAACAAAAAACGGAAATCTAAACAGGCGTTTCAGCTAATATTAACCCCCGAAACCCTAATCATTCAATGAACACGCAAACTTCCGTCACGATTTGAAAATAACCTCCAAAATTCATCATTCGAGATTTCAAAACACGACAAAACTAAACCCCTGGGCTGAAGAAACCATAGCTCTTAAGAATAAAAAGCTAGAGAAATTTGGAGGAGGAGAATCTGAACGGATAAACATCAAAAAAATTGTAAAAAACAAAAAAAACACAAACACTAGATTTAGGGATTACACAGAAAGGTAAGCATAGAAATCGAGAGAAAGAGAGAGAGAACACACCTTTTGCTTCGCTTCCTCGAAATCCGCCGGACGTGAGGATGAGAAACCGAAGAAGGAAACACGTCAGAGAATTGAGAGACGAAATGGTCCTGAGTGGTGGATCTGTAGATTTATCAGACTTACTCACCCAAATAGCCCTCTCTGTTCTCCATTAATTACTATTTTTTGCCATTGCCGTATCAACCACGCGTCATCGCTTCAGTAGCTCTCAAGTTTTGAAGTTTGGATCGAGTTTCTACTACAGCTGACTCATTCTCAACCGTCCGATTCAGTTGACAAAAAAATTATAAAATATCTCAAATTTCTGTTCTTTTTTTTTTTAACATCAAATACAAACTAGAAAATGACAGACAAACATTTAGTTTAATTATATTTTTTTCTTCACAGAATTAGATATTTTATTTTGAGGTCTCTGTAGATTTTGTCTTGGGTTTAAAAAATATAAAATGTCTAAAATCTCCAAACACAGGTCCCAGCTAAATGAGCTAATGGTGTGAAACTCTTGCATTTTTTTTGAGGTGGAGAATAAATTTATAAAAAGTGGAATGTTTAAATCTAGTCAGCATATGGACAATACTATTACAGTTTTATAACAAATTTACCCGATTGGATCTATTAACGATAAGAACAATCTGATTCATGTAGTATATTTACATGTTTTAGAGTAGTTTATAATGTTTGAACCGGTATGAGAATATGTTTGGATGGTATGAGAGTATAAAGTCTGAACATGAATTCAAAATAATACTAACATAATAATGTTGGGAAACAAGTGAATTTATTATAATGTAAACATGCTAAAATATTTACGATCCAAAGTTGATTTTTTTGCAATATGTCACGATAAACATTGCCTTTTTTCCAAAATCATGGGTGACATGTGAGAATCATTATTACTATATTTAATCTTCTCTTATGCCTATCACTTTTACAAATTTCCACCAACAAGCTTTTAATTTAGTTTTTATTACTAGACAAATTCAGAAACGAAATTCATACAAATTATGAAAGGCCTAGATTAATATATAAACTCAGTAAGGCAGTCTTCTTAGCATCGACTATGAACGGAGTTATCAGTAATTAGGCCAGTCCTATAGTTGGCTAACCATCACTAAATCATTAGCTTTGAGGGTTAACAAAAAAAAGACAATCTTCTAATTAACTTCGACTATAACCAGAGTTACCAATCATTAGACCACTATAGTATTTTTCTTACCATTGGTTAAATCATTATCTAAATATAGTATCTGAGGGCTTTCTTAAAAAAAAACTATCTAGTTTTCAAACTTTTAAAAATCATACTGTGCATGCGTTTATGTTTAAAAAATATCAGTTTGATTCGACATACAATAATATCTTTAAAAGAAAACACGAAAAGCCATCATCTTCTTTCTTTTTCTTTTTCTTTATCAACAAACGGGAACATCTTATTCTTGTTTCATGTGACGCTCTCTACCTTTCTGCAAGCCTCTCTTCTTCTATTAATATATTATTTACTAATAATGTATGTTTCCCTCTCTGTGATTTTACATGTGGCAGGTGAGATTAGTCACATTGCAAGCTCACAAAAGTCGTTGGACTAACATTCATCACATATATTTTTTGTTTTATTCCATACTAAATTATATATTTTTTCATAAAAAAATAAATTCTGATCAATTTGGCATGGTGTGGGACTAAAGAATACGAAGTTATGGAATGGTGGAATGGAATGGTAGAATGGTGGAAAAACCCAAAAACGCAAGAATTTTGTCAATAAAAAAAAACCTGCGAAAAACCGCAAAAACGAAAGATTTGCAGAATTGCATTTTTGCTTACAGAAAATACGAAGAAATCTTCATTAAACGGAAAAACGTGTTTGGAGTAGATTATTTGCGGAATCAATGTTTACATTATTTAATTATATTTTATTATTTAAATAAATACAAATAAATAATTTAGTATTACAAAAAATTATTTAATGATAAAGTAATATCTATTATTTAAGGTTTGCAATATTTTTTATGAAAAAAAATTATTAAAAAGTTACAATTAGAATTATATCATTTTATAATAATTGATTGAATTATTAATATTTTAATTTTTTATAATATATAATAAAAAGCAGAATATTTTCAATAAGTAATTCCGTAATTTCGCAATTCTGCCATAATTTATCCAATCGAATTAAAGTTCTGCAATTTCGCAATAAATTATTTCTCAATTTATTTTTTTTGTCATTCTGCAATTCCGCGATATAAAAAATGTGTTACCAATCGGATATCGCTGAAAAACCAACGACCAGTCTCATAACACATAGTTGAAACGGCAAGCAGTGGAGGACGCTGGGCTTTAATTTACTGACAAATTCAAGGATTTGTAACTATATCTGAAAGCCCATTATAGCCCATTTAGAAATAGACGATGGCCCCAAAAAACTAAAACCTCTGCGTCTCGTCGCGCCGCTGTCTGATATTCCTCTGTTTCCTCTCATTTTTTTGCGATCAGGTCTAGTGAGAGAGAGAGAGAAGAGGCAAGTTTTGTACTGAAGAAAAAAAAGTGTTGAAGGAAAGCTTTGAGAAGCCATGGATGCGGAATTCGAGAGGCTGCTCATGTTCGAACAAATTCGTAAAGCCGCCGAGGAGACTTACACGAAAAACCCTTTAGATGCCGATGTTAGTTCTCTCTTCACTCCATGATTCCAGATTTGTTCTACTTGCGTTAACCTTTCTCTTGCCCGATCGTCTGGTTCGTTATTCGGATAAGTTAACTAGGCATACACTCGATCGTCTCCTCCTGGGCTGGTTTCAATGGTGAAATTTTAAGTTGAATCCTTGACTTTTCTTTTTGTCTTTGCTTAAGAACTTGACGAAATGGGGAGGAGCTTTACTGGAGGTAGCTCAGTTTCATAACGTCGTAGATGCAAAGCAAATTATTCAAGGTGCTTTCATGTTTTTCTATCTGTGTGTTAATATGATTGAATTGTGTTCAGATTTGTTTACTTGAATCTTATTCCTCTTTAGGTCTCCTTGCTCCCGAATGTTTACATTTGGTTATTGATGATCTGCTCTTTAGGTTTCCTTGTTTTGAAACTTGAAATAATCTGCTCTGATCTAGGGATTTGAGTAAAAGGTTTTCTTTATTTTGTGTGTGTGTAGATGCGATCACGAAGCTCGAAGAGGCGTTGTTGATTGACCCAAAGAAAGATGAATCGCTTTGGTGCATGGGGAATGCATACACTTCACTTGCGTTTTTGACTCCTGAAGAGACTGAAGCTAAATATAGCTTCGACTTAGCTACTCATTTTTTCCAACAAGCTGTGGATGAGGTTATATTCTTTTCAATTCGGAATCCAATGTTTATACTAATCTTTTTATTGTTGTGGTTTTTGAATATTTGATATGGAATCTTTGCAGCAACCGGAAAATTCACTCTACGTGAAATCACTTGAAATGACGTCCAAGGTACTTTCTCTATAGAATGTAGACCAAATCAACAGCCAACAAAGTTCATTGTTTTGCCTCGGTGCAAGTAGTTGTAATAATTTCATAGGAAGGGAATATCGCAGTAGCTGAACTGTACATTTTGCCTCTAAACCCGATCCGAAAGTTTTGTACTTTAATCGTAATCTTCTCTCTGTGTTAGGCACAGGCTCGTTACCTGTAAAGATTCGTTTTGTCGATTGATTCATAGGAAGGGAATAATTGCAGCTGAATTGTGCATTTTCCCCCTAAAACTAGTCCCAAAGTTTTCATTCTTCAATCAGATTTCTCTCTTATGCTAAGTATAGGCGATTTGTCGATTCATGGGATATGGAATATCGTAGCTGAACTATGCATTTTGCCTCTAAACACAATCCCGGCTCAAAGATTTTTTCTTTAATCTAATATCTTCTCTTTTGTGCTAAGCGCAGGCTCCTCTACTGCACGCTGAGGTTCACAAACAAGGCTTAGGGTCACAACCATTGGGTGGCGAAGGACCATCAGCAGCGCCAAGCTCAAAGGTTCTCTCTCTCTCTCTCTCTCTCTCTCTCTCTCTCTCTCTCTCTCTCTCTCTCTCTCTCTTTTATATATTCATTCTCGTCTTCATCATATTTTCATTTTTTCAGTACTTGATGAATGCACTCAATGGTTTGAATCTCGTGATCATGTTTTCATGTTTTTTTTGTTTCTCTCCAAACAAACAGGCAGCGAAGGGTAAGAAAAGTAGTGATTTGAAGTATGATGTGATGGGATGGGTGATTCTCGCCGTTGGCATTGTTGCTTGGGTTGGTTTCGCCAAAGCTAATACGCCTGTTTCTGCTCCTCGATAAGGAGTGTGTGTTTTGTTTATCTACTCAAATAGTAGGAGATTTTTTTTTGTTGGAGTATTTCAGTTCTAAGGTTTTTAACCGTTGTTTTTTGATATATTTTCACAACTTTCTTGAATTGTCTTTGTTTTATCATCTTCATCGCTACTGGTAATTTTTATTTCATTTTGATGAAGCCCTTCCTCTTTGGGTAAAACCTGTTCTACGCATTCCTTCTTTTGGAATATTTACATTATTTGAGAATCTTCTTAATTATAAAAAGCAATCTTGTCATTTATTTAGTTGTTTCGGTTTGTACAATATGCTATATACATATTACGAACAAGTATTTACAGGAGATAATGAAATTCCTCCTTTTTATCTGCGAAAATTGATGGATGGGATAAAAATCAAATGAATTTCATACGGTTCGATTGCTCCAAATTTGGGTTTTGGTTCTAGTTCGGTTCGGTGATTTGGTATTAAAATTTCTATCGTCTGAGTTTTATGCTTAATAATGGGCTTAGAGGTCCCGTTTATTAAGTTGGGCTTGAAAACGTAAATCATACGAAGGCGCGTGCGCCTCACAACTGAACACGCGAACCACATACGTACGCGTCACTTGACCACATAACCCTCCAAAAGCTTCCACAGAACGTCGTTTTCGTCCCTAGATCTATAGATTAGCTGGCGAATTTATCGAATGTTGCCGCCAACTTTATAATTTCCCTCGCTTAATTACAATATCCGACGCCAAATTTCAGTGCGGACTTACGATAATACCCTTCATCTTCCCCAACAAGCCTCTCGAAAGAGTTTCATTTCAAACGTTTTGACGATTCCCTCCTTATTTTCCCTCTCCTGTTCAAACATTTAAAATCCCCTAAAACCCTTCGGTTTTGTGTATATATACTCATCCCTAGATCCCATAATTCTTCAGCCAACCATCAATCACATCTTCAACCTCTCAATCAAATTTTCCCACTTTCCTCCATTAAAACCAGCGAGAGATGCCTTCCATGGCAGAAGAGCCGCTTCTTACTCCAACCCCAGACAGATTCTGTATGTTCCCGATTCACTACCCACAGATCTGGGAGATGTACAAGAAGGCCGAAGCATCGTTTTGGACGGCGGAGGAAGTCGATCTATCTCAGGACGGTCGCGACTGGGAGAATCTCAACGACGGCGAGCGGCACTTCATCAAACACGTCCTCGCCTTCTTCGCCGCCTCAGACGGAATCGTTCTGGAGAATCTCGCTTCTCGATTCATGTCCGATGTTCAAGTCTCGGAGGCGCGTGCTTTCTACGGGTTCCAGATCGCGATCGAGAACATCCATTCCGAGATGTACAGTCTCCTCCTCGACACTTACATCAAGGACAACAAGGAGAGAGACCATCTGTTTCGCGCAATCGAAACCATCCCTTGCGTCGCGAAGAAGGCGCAGTGGGCGATGACGTGGATCGACGGATCCCAGACTTTCGCGGAGCGTATCGTCGCCTTCGCCTGCGTCGAAGGCATCTTCTTCTCCGGTAGCTTCTGCTCGATTTTCTGGCTGAAGAAACGCGGGCTCATGCCGGGACTAACCTTCTCCAACGAGTTGATCTCTCGAGACGAAGGCTTGCACTGCGATTTCGCGTGCCTCATCTACACTCTGTTGAGGACGAAGCTCTCGGAGGAGCGCGTGAAGTCGATCGTCTGCGACGCCGTCGAGATCGAGAGGGAGTTTGTGTGCGACGCGCTTCCCTGCGCGTTGGTGGGGATGAACCGGGACCTGATGAGCCAGTATATCGAATTTGTTGCGGATAGGCTTTTGGGTGCGCTTGGGTACGGGAAGGTGTACGGTGTGGCGAATCCGTTTGATTGGATGGAGTTAATCTCGCTTCAGGGTAAAACAAACTTCTTCGAGAAGCGAGTGGGTGATTACCAGAAGGCCTCCGTTATGTCTAGCGTTAACGGAAACGGCGCGTTTGATAACCATGTCTTCTCGCTCGACGAGGATTTCTAGATTTAATAATTATTACGTTGTTTAGCCCTTGTAATATTGCGTGTATTATTACCTACTTTTGATTAATGGAATATCATATTAGCTTTATCTACTTTTCCCCCAGCTTATATCCGTGAAATTGGGTTTCATTTCATACAAATCATTTTAAAAAAATGAATATTAATTAATCTGATACTTAAATAAAAAATGCCAAAATAAAGACATAGTTGAAATGAAAATTCGGATAAAATAATGAAATCGTAGTGACAATGGGCGTTTTCGTCATTTGATATAAATTGTGGCACTTCTAATTTGTGAAGAGCTTTCTACTCATGTTCTGCTCCGCAGAAAAAAAGCAGATAATTTTTTTTTTAATCTTTGTGCAATGGAGTCACTGCAAAACTCTGGGATGTTGACGAAAGAGCAGATGGTTTATCTGTTTGATCGATTTGATTACTTGACCTCGCAGTCTGGTAATTTTGTCTCTGAATCCATTTACTGGTGGATTGATTGGAATTTTAATTTTAATTTTTATATTTATTTCTCTTAGATGTGAAGAAACGAATCTCCGATGCAGTGGAGGATAAACAGGTGAATTCTTCATATTTTTCGATTAATTGTAGATTAATAGTTGGTAGAGTTATGTCCTTTTCAATGTGGATTAGATTATATGATTGGGTACTTTTTTTTTATTTTGTTGTAATGGCAGTTTCTGATTTAATTGCTTCAGTACAATTGCTTCAGAGATTTGATTCTCAGTTCTACAAATCAAGTTCATTGAGTTTTAGAAAATGTAATTTATCTCACTAAAATGCATCCGGAAACTGTGTTTGTTCATCTGCTACAATGTGTGTTGATGAATGATCCAATGCAGGAAGCTGTAGCGGTTACAACTGCAGTCCAAGAAGAAATCTTCTTGGAGATGGGAATTGGTAAAAATCTCCTTTTAACCCTTATTGGTTAAATTTTGTTCTGAATACAAATTCTATGATTCTCAATGACGGTTTATTGGTTAAGCAGACCCAGGATTTGGTATTGGATGTTTGGGAAAGCTGAACTCTGCATATGAAAACGATAAAGAGTTGATGATTGGTTTCTACAAGTTTCTCGCTAAGTGAGCTCTCTCTTCCTCACTTCTAAACTAGAGAGGGTTACTGATAAATAGTATTCTCAGAAGAAGAGAGCTAATACACAGTTGATAGGGAGGAGATGGCATGTGAAGAAGCTGAGCTTGGACCAGATGAATTTGAACAGAAAATGAAAGCTCAACAACAGTTACAAGAACAGGTAATATCAGCTTGTTTAGTATACAATAAGATAGGTTAATGAAGTCTAACGTCCAACTATTCAAATGTGCTTGTTGCAGCAGCTGGAGATGTTAAAGTATATGCGTAAATTCCCTCTCGATGATCAATCTGCTATACTTAAGAAGGTAAACAGCAAGAACCTTCTTTACACTTTCTTGTCGTTACCATGAAGGTTAATCACAATAGCAAATGATCTGAGTCTACTGAGGAGTGATTCAGATTCGACTTGCCCACTCAAGTATCGGAAAATTGATCCACCATTTCTTGGATTTTTTTTCTTTTCATTTTCGTTTCCAACAGCTTCAGATGCAACTAGAAAGTGCGGATTTTGAGCCTGAGGCATCGCTTTTGTCAGGAGAAGAAATGGAGGAAGCTGTAAGGCGAAGAGTGTCACCAGTTTTTGGAAACAGATAGCTTCATCATTTCTCACGGTCACAGGCCATTTTAATTTCTCTTTTCTTCTCCATATATACTTAAAACTCTGTAGATGCAAATGTAAACAAAAAATTTGCTTTAACTTTTCATTATTATCCTGAACATACGTCGCACCATCAACCAAGCAGGCAAGACTCATGCGTTTCAATGATGTGTAAGTGATTTCACTAAAGTTTGTTCTTTAGGAAACAACAAGTTGATATGGCCGAGTTGGTCTAAGGCGCCAGATTAAGGTTCTGGTCCGAAAGGGCGTGGGTTCAAATCCCACTGTCAACAATTTATCTTTTTTTTTTCCAATGTAAAATCGCTGATGTGTCATTGTGGGACCTGCTCATTATAGTGATGTGGCAGACTGAGTTTCGATAATCAGTACTTATCCGATTCTCAACGAAAACAAAGAAAGAGATGAAAGGTTTGTACTTTGTATTGCCTCTCGACTCTGATAATACTCACAAGCTGATACATTGTTGTAGGCCAATGATGATGGACCGAACCTTGACGGCTCACGACGAGGCATACATTTGTAATGGAGTATCAGAATAATCGAAACCATTTTTAAAACGTAGATAATTGAATTCAATAAAAATGGTAAAATGATTCCCAAATAGGGGAAATATATATAGTTTTTAATTTCTGAAAAAAAGGCTTACATAATTGATGGTAAAGTAAACCATAACATAAAGGACCAACGAGGCGACGACCACTTTGTATATTTGTTTTCTTTGATCCAAAGCAAATCCCATGTGACATCACATTCCAATAAACAAAATGTGAATCCTTCTCAATGCCTTCACACAGTTTGATCATAATCTCTTCTTTCTTTATTTCTCTACACTTTTTTCTTGAAAACACTTTTAATCCTTCCATGTCACAAAAATTTGTCCTTACCCGCCAAAGCACTCTTTCTTCCGACATTAACCAATGGATCACTCTATTCTCTATAAAAAAAGAATCCTAATCTTCTATTCTCAGCCCTCATTATCAACCCCATTACAATTTTCTCGCACATATATAAATACACACACACACTTATACGTTTGCATCGATCATCTACATAAAAACACTCTCGCTAAGATATATAGATTATAATATATATAGCAAGAGAGGAGACGATCGAGAAAGATGTCTGATTGGGGACCGGTGTTTGTTGCGGTGACGCTGTTCGTGTTGCTAACTCCGGGAGTTCTGATTCAGATTCCGGGGAAAAACCGAGTGGTTGAGTTTGGAACATTTCAGACAAGTGGTGTTTCGGTTATTGTTCATACTCTCATCTACTTCACTCTTGTTTGTATTCTCTTGCTCGCTCTCCAAATTCACATGTACATCGCCTAAAGCTGATGTGAAACTATTAATCTCTCCATTTTTTGTATTTTCAGAATACTTTATAGTCAAAATTTTCTTTTATTTGAATTGTTAGTAATTCACTGTTTTGTTTGGTGTAAGAAACAAAGTGGTTTCGTACACAAGAGTTGTTTCATAACTACAAGTAATTTATAGACATGATGTGATATAGATTGTTCAACCTGGTTTTCGCTTTGATTACAATTTTCATTTTGATGAAATTATTAACATGCAGAAGTTTCAATCAAAGTTAACTGATTCGGTTTGATCTAGATAAATCATCATATATGCATGTGGGCTCACTTATACGTCCTAGTTAACAAAATAGCATATGTGAATCGTGTGGTATATTCTAGAGTGACGGAAACATCTTTTCATCTAGATACAACGCCACTAAGTTGCTAATTTGGTTATACATCATTCGTTACGAAGAATAATCTTTCGCTGTCCAGTAGCAGTTAATAAGTTACTTTAAAGTTTATCAAATCAAGCCAAATACTAAAATCTCAAGAAAAGGATTCAACTTAGTTTTGAGATTTTGTAAGCAACATTTTCAAGTGAAACGAACGCAATTCACACCCTATTTTTATTAATTACCAAACCAAGTAACGAAGGAGATCACTGAATCAAGCGTGCATGAGGAACCACAATTAGTAGAAAAGAGCTTTAAGAAAGAAAAAAATAGTGAATATGAGGTTTTTTCAAAAAAAAAAAAAAAAATATATATATATATATATATGAGGTTGAGGAATAAATATATCATGAAACGTATCACGAAAAGGTAATTAAGTATCCAATTTGTTCTCTTGACCAAGAAAATTTAGCTGGATTTGTAGATATTAATTATTTACAGCAAGAAATTCACATGAAAACTGTATTCATGTTAATAATTAGGAATATTCATCGTATGAATAAAAATAATGGTCTAACTTTGATTGTTTGGATGCTACTACTACATAATTAACTTAACTAAGAAGTAACTTACAAATTAGAAAGGAGTTATTGATTTGATGAGTGGGAGTGTGAGTGTGAGTGGCACTACCAGCTCAGAGAGCAAATATATTCGGTTTAAAAGTTTTTTCATTTTAAAATACAAATACTCTTTAACCAGTCCTGTACTTTAGTACAAAACAATTAAATTAGCATTAACTAAAGATATTAGGAGTATTTTTTCGTGCCCCTCTTAAGTTCTTTAGATTACTGAGATAATCACGAGATTATTATTCAAATAAAAATAAAAACATCATCACATTACCACCATAACTTTCTTCTTTTCTAGTTTCTTCCATCTCCTCCTGTCTTTTTCTCTAGCCACCGCTTTCTAAAGGTGTAACCTTTTTCAACTTCACACTCAGGACACCGTTTAACGGCAACTATGGCGGATTGGGCTCCGGTTCTCGTCGGCGTTATCCTTTTCGTGATTCTGTCGCCCGGACTTCTCTTCTCACTACCCGGAAACAACCGAGCGGTAGATTTCGGTACTCTCAAAACCAACGGAAAAGCCATCGCTGTTCACACTCTCATCTTCTTCGCCATTTACTCCATCTTGATCCTCGCCGTTAATCTCCACATCTACACCGGCTGATCTCTTCTCGATCTCTTCTTCTTTCGTTGTTGTTGTTTTTCCCCCAATTAAAATAAAGGTACCCTTTTGAAACTGGGTCTAGAAACTCTGTAAATTAAGGTTTTTATAGACCTTAAATCTATAGTTTTTGTTTTGGAATGTTGTAACAAACAGATTTGGTGAAAAGGGCTGTGTTGTATTGTATCATTACTTCAGTTTGCTACAATCTCGTTAACTCCCTTTTTGGGCAAGTGAAAAAAAAAAAAAAAAAATTTTACCTAATAATCTCGTTAACTCCGTTTATCAGCTCAAATTTAGTTTACAAAACTGCTACTTTTTACCATCCTGCTTGAAACATTATTAGAAACAGCGAACAATGAAGATCAAAGAGATTTGTACACACATTAGAGTTTGCAATAAAAGTGACTTTTTTTTGTTACATTACATGATATTTAGAGTAGAGATCAGAAATGGATGTGAACTTGTATAGCAATCACCAAGATTGTGAGTATACAAAAGTATATCACTGCGTGAACCAAAATAGCGATACCGCTCGTGCTCATGTTCCCGAATTCGACCACTCTCGTCCTCGCGGGAAGCTGGAACAGAAGTCCTGGTGATAGTAGGATGAACAGAGACACCGCTAAGATCACCGGTCCCCAATCCGCGCTCATATATAACGGTTTTGTGATCTCTTTGCTTCTTAGTGTTTGTACTGAAACTGCTACTGTGAATTGCTTGTGTGTGTGTGTGTGTGTGTAAAGAGTGTTTGCTCTTTTGCAGATGAAGATGGAGACAAGTGGAGAGTTATGTAGAAGGTGATTGAAGAGTCTTTTTGGCTTTTCTTGGTGGCTAAGGAGAAGGAAGAAGAGGTTAAGACACTAAAGCTTAGTGATAGATTACGAGGAAAGGTATTGTATTCTATATTGGCTCTGCTTTTTGTGAACTTTGCTTCTTCTTTCTCTTTTTCAATGCTCTTTGGTAGTGTTTGCTTTTATTTTTGTTTGTTAAAGATTTTGCTATAAAGTTGATTACTGCTTAAAGATGATATATCAAGATATGTGTCTACTTGATAGATTTCTTAGTAGTTTGGGTTTCCTTTTTGTTTGTTTCTCTCTTGATTATGAAGTTTAACCGATTGAATCTGGTCGAAGAAGCATCAAGTTAGGTAGCTCTGTTTCTTGTGATTTCTCCATGTTTTAGATCCATGGAGTTTCAGAGGTTCTAATCTTTTGTTTTGCTTGTGAGGCTTGGACTAGTGATGTTGAGTTCAAACTCAAAGAGTCAAAGAGGGTCAGATATCGGTTAGACATTTTTAGCAGAGATGTGGCGGTTATGAGCGGTTTATACCTGTGGCCACATTGCGTATAAGTGCTACTTCGAAAGATATGTTAAATTTGGGTACTATGCTTTTTTCAAAATGAAGCTTATTATTCGTTGCCTTAAACGAGACTTCATAACATTTTGACTTCACATTAATAGTACGGTGATTTTGTATATTAATATTTGATAGGAGAGAACTTTGCCTGGAACATCAATGGACGTTTGTTGCAATGTGTGTTGATCTTCACAGTTCCAGAACAAGATCTGCAAAAAGCAAGCAAACGATATGTAAGCTCTTGAGAGAGAGAGAGAGAGAGAGAGAGAGAGAGAGAGAGAGAGGGAGAGAGAAATGAAACCAAATAGTGTTCTTAAGGTTCAATGTTCTGTATATATATATATATATCATCTTGACTTACACTCTGCGTCAGTGTTGATCCAGTTTTCTCTTGTCTTGTTTGCTTCCGAGATGGAACTTGAAGCGAGAAACGATCCATCAAGACTTGGAACCCTGAGATCGCAGCGGGTGATGCAGCGTCTTCTGTCATCTATATTGGTATCGGCTCTTGTATAGAGAACAGGATGGACTTTACTTCGGAAGATTTGAACACTCTGTAACCAAAACAAAAGCCACACATTAACTTTTCAAAATTCTTCCGATCAATCTATTTGAGTAAGATTTAAAAATGCTTAGAGTTGAAAAGACTGAACCTTTCTGTGTTCTTTCTTTTTGGGCATAGAGTCGTCATCATCATCATCATCAACAACATCACCATCATTTCTCGTCTTTGAAGACGACCCATGGAGCTTTTTAAATATCCTTTTAATCAAACCTCTTGTGCCATGTTTCTCCATGGAATTACACTCTCCTTCTACTGTCTTTCCTCTCTTGAAGAGGCTTGTAAGTAAGCCCTTGTTCTTCTGTACTTTGTTGCTTCTCTTCGTAAACTCAATTGTTGATCGAAAGAGATCATAACCTTGTAAAGAACATACATCTGATTCTCTATCTCCTTCTGCATTCGAGCTCTCTACCCGCTTACTGCTAGTATCCTCGGGATAGTCTTCAAGAAACTTATCTAGTTTCTCAGTAATGAGCTTTGCCATCTCTTTTTGTGCTCCGGTTACATCTTCTTCTTTAACCGAAGCTGCGAATTTCGGTGTTTCAGGATCTCTACCAAGCGTCCCGATCGCCAGAAATCCGCTGAACCCGTCTTCATCAAACCGGAGTTCCTCATCAAGTTCCGGTTGATTCTTGTCATGAGATGGTCCGGAGAAGGAGAATGAGAAGGAGTTTGTACGGATGTCTTGAACTTCAGAGGAAACCTGAGCTCTTAGACAACAGAAATCACCTGAAAGATAGACTGACATTAATAAATTAATAAAATAAAAATTATTTGTATAGGATGAGGATAGGTTATTGAAAGGGTTTTATGCGAGATAAAAGTTATACTATAAGTAAACCTTTGAACTCCTTTGATGGGTCTACGCCGGGTTGCTTTATAGTTCGCATCCAACTTAGCAGCTGCAGGAGATGGATTAGTCAAGCACAAATTATCAGCAAGAAAAAAACATTTTTGATAAGTTCTCTGGAAATTGAAATATATAGTATATGTATAACTTACCTTCATGTTGCCTTCGCTTCCTTAGTGTCAGCTTCTTTTGCTTTTCTTTAATTATCTCTAGGGTTTGTAACTATATATAGGTGTAAGTAAGTCGAAGTTTTGAGCTAGAAGGATCCGAGTCTTATGATTGAGTTTAGAAACAGTGAATGAGTTTTGTTGGCATTGTCCGTCTTTGTCGTAATGTGTTGAGTATCTATATATTATATAAGTTTATAACACGAACCACGTATATAATAAGGACCATAAACAATGATATCGTGTGATTTGCATTCATCCAAATTTCTTTACGTGGGAAGCGTCTGACATATTTATATTGAGCGCGTATAAGATGGGACGTTACAGAATTAAGGAAAGGTTGTTTTCGAGCTAAAAGTTATTATTATTATTACGGAAAGTGTCTGGCTGAGGTAGAGACTATCTAAAGAGAGTTTCCCACCACTTCGCCTCTCTTTTGTTCGGACATGTTTGTGGGCTTCTCTCACAAACCACCACGTGTATGATCGTACGACGTTGACATCGACATGACATGACATAGCGAGCGCAGTACCGTAACTATTGAGTTATCACTCATGTCTGTGTGTGTACTGTTCATTCTTGCATGCCTTTTTCCTCTAAAAGGAAAGTGATATATCTTCAAAAAGGAAATGTTGTTTTCCTTCATCTTAAAAAATAAAGGCGTACAAGCAACGGAAGTCTCTAGCTCATGCACAGAGAGAATCTATCTTGCGACCGGGTTTTTGTCCTGTTTCTGCCACGTCACCGACATTAGTATCAGGAAAAGTGATAGTTACAGTCCAATTGTAGTATAGTTACTAATCAGTTTAGAGTTGTCTAGATTTATATTTTTTAGTTTTGTTCTTCCTTCGTCTTAGTTGTACAATTTTGAACAATCTATTTTGTACCGTCGGTAATAATCGGTCTCATTTACTCGTAAACATAGTCAACACAAACTAATTTGGTAAATTTGTGTGTTTTTGGTTTTTTTTTTTCACATTTTATTTAGGAGATTTTTCTCATAACATGACGTCTATATATTCAAAAGTGTCTAACTAGGTTAGGTATCCCTAGAGAAAAACCTGTTCACTCAAATTTTTGAAAGGAGTGGGACGAGTGGCTATACTCGTTTTGCAGATGTTATAAAGAATCTTTATTATTGAGCAAAGAAACAAAGATGCAAATTTACAACGTTGTACTTTGTGTGCCCCAAAGTAAGCAAAAGAAGAAAGAGCAATTTCATGTAAGCATCTAATCAGATCTTTCTTCTTATCACATCTTTCTGATCGATACACATGGGATTTTTTCGTACCGTATACACAATTATCGTTCGCACCATTTCACATGCGAAGACCGACAAATGAGATTAATTTTAATCAAAACGTGCTTCAACAGTTTCCTCCTTGGACCCATTTTGATCTTGTTCTTACATTTCATGTAGTTGTAGGTTTGCAATTATTAGGTGTCACCAAGATTTTGTGATCTCTAGATATGCTACACGTTTTCGGTTAGATCGTAAACGCAAATAGTATTGCATCGACACAAACATATGCTTATATCCAAAACATATTGGTTACAATTAACATCACTTATATATTTGTAACATCTCGGTTTCAGGAATATGAATGTATATATAAACGGTCGGGGTGTTACAATACTGCTCATATCTCACGAACAAAACTTGAGTTCAAATATGACACTAGACTTTTTATAAAATGATCAACGCATCTTCTAGTCTATAATGCTATATTGAATCTATCCACACCGTGTCGTAGAGCTGAAATCGATTTTGAGTCTACGGAGTGTCATGGCTTTGCTGAGAATAAACAGCATGGCCCGGCCCGATGTTAAAATTGAGCCCAACAACCAAAATACAAATTTAGTTTGAATATATGGCAAAAGGAGAAAAAGGAATTTAAAGAAATTACTGCGTCTGATAATCTTAAAGTTCTAAATACGAGGAGGAACTAAGAAGAGAACAAAAATACATTTATGGTTCCTATTCAATCCGTTCAACAGAAAATTGATCGTTTCGATGTAACAATAACGTAACAGATATAAATTACACGTGGCACTCTCCTATTCGACCTTCTAACTACTTAGCGTCTAATCTGGAGATTCAGCATATTATTCCAATAACTAACCTCGATTCGTCAAACTTACATTTTCTTCCGCCATTTCCTTTGAATCCCTCTCTCTAGATCCTCGGAACCACCATTTTCTCGGAGCAATCCGCCGGGAAATTCCAAATTTAACTGCGGAGAACTGAGTTTTTTTATCGGAAACTCTCACATTGAGTAGCTAAACATGGGGACGGAGATCCCTAGATCGGGGGAGATATCGGAGGCATTGTTGCCGGGATCTGAGAAGACCGCGACGGAGTTGGATCATGATGAGGATGTCCCTGAGTGGAAGGAGCAGATAACGATCCGAGGATTGGTTGTGAGCGCTTTGCTGGGGACTTTGTTCTGCATCATTACTCACAAACTCAATCTGACAGTCGGAATCATACCTTCGCTGAACGTCGCCGCAGGTTTACTCGGCTTCTTCTTCGTCAAATCGTGGACCGGTTTCTTGTCGAAGCTTGGATTTACCGTCAAACCGTTCACCAAGCAAGAGAACACCGTTATCCAGACTTGCGTCGTCGCTTGCTACGGCCTCGCCTTTAGCGGTAAAGTCTTACTCTAGCTCTGAGTTTTCAGTTTAGTGAAATTTTAGCAAGAACGTGCTCGCTTATCGATCGGATTCTCAGTTCTCGGAATTCAATTCTACCAATAATAGTTGTTTTGGCGATTCTGCAATTGCTTCTATAAGGTTGCTTACTCTTGTGTCTTATCTGACATTGTTGTTTCTTAGGAGGATTTGGATCATATTTGATTGCTATGGATGAGAAGACGTACAACCTCATTGGTGCGGACTATCCGGGAAACCACGCAGAAGATATTATAAATCCAGGATTGTGGTGGATGATTGGGTTTTTATTCGTAGTCAGCTTCTTGGGGATCTTTAGTCTCGTTCCACTACGCAAGGTAGCATCTCTATACATTTGCTGTGATCTTACAGAAATGATGTGTGTAACTTTCCTTTCACTATATTACTCGATTCTTCTTCTTTCTCATGAGTTTATCTTTCAGGTGATGGTATTGGACTACAAACTTACTTATCCCAGTGGGACCGCCACAGCAATGCTGATTAACAGCTTCCACACCAACTCTGGAGCTGAGCTTGCTGGGTAATTTTGTCAAGAGTCATTCAGTCTCTCTTTCCTCTAGCCAATTTTTGTGTTTATTGAACTTGTGCCTGTAAATATTGTTCATTACAGGAACCAGGTCAAATGTCTTGGAAAATACCTGAGCCTTAGCTTTGTTTGGAGCTGTTTCAAGTGGTTCTTCAGTGGTGTTGGAGATTCGTGTGGATTTGATAACTTCCCAACCCTTGGTCTGACGCTATTCAAGAACACGTAAGTTCATATGAACCAGTTTGATACAGATTTAAAGTCCGAAGGTTGATATATAAGTAATGATGTGTTAGCTGGAATGTGTTTGTCTAATAATTTGTGGAGGCAAGTTGGTGCAGTTTTTAACGAGTCCTGATTTTCTGACCCGCAGGTTTTACTTCGACTTCAGTCCCACTTATATTGGATGTGGCCTTATATGCCCCCATATAGTGAACTGCTCGGTTCTTCTCGGTGCGATCATCTCTTGGGGGTTTCTCTGGCCTTTTGTATCACAGCATGCTGGTGATTGGTATCCAGCTGACCTTGGGTCCAACGATTTCAAAGGTCTCTACGGATATAAGGTACAGTATAAGCAGCTCTGTTAGAAACCTTTTTAATAAAAGCACAGATTCATTTCAAAAAGCGTGGAAAACAGATAAGTTTCAAGCACTAATGCTTTTGTCATTTTTGGCTTTTTAAGGTCTTTATCGCCATTGCCATTATCCTTGGTGACGGTCTCTACAATCTTGTCAAGATCATCGCTGTCACTGTGAAGGAACTATGCAACAATAGCTCTAGACGCCTCAATCTACCCATTGTTACCAACGTTGTAGGTGAGATCATATTAGATCCTGACTCATCTCTCACAAGCTCTTGTTTTCTCTGATGGCCACTTTCCAAAGAGATTAATCCTCTGAAACCTTATGTTTTCCAATTCCTTAATCCAGATGACAGCGAAGCATCTGAGATACTGCTGGTAAAGAAGAAAAGAGATGAAGTGTTTCTAAAGGACCGTATACCACTTGGATTTGCGGTTTCTGGCTATGTGGGTCTCGCAGCTATCTCAACCGCAACAATCCCGTTGATCTTTCCACCCTTGAAATGGTACTTTGTCCTGTGTTCTTACCTCATTGCACCCGCTCTCGCCTTCTGCAACTCGTATGGAACCGGGCTCACGGACTGGAGTCTAGCATCGACTTATGGAAAGATCGGACTTTTCATAATCGCTTCCGTAGTAGGAAGTGATGGTGGTGTCATTGCGGGTTTAGCTGCCTGTGGCGTTATGATGTCAATCGTCTCAACCGCTGCTGATCTCATGCAAGACTTCAAAACAGGTTACCTCACTTTATCATCTGCAAAATCCATGTTCGTAAGCCAGCTCGTAGGAACCGTAATGGGCTGTATAATCGCTCCGCTCACGTTCTGGCTGTTCTGGACTGCTTTCGACATTGGAGATCCCAACGGTCCGTACAAAGCACCTTACGCAGTGATTTTCCGTGAAATGGCTATTCTCGGCATTGAAGGCTTTGCAGAACTGCCTAAGCATTGTTTGGCTCTTTGTTACGGGTTTTTCATCGCGGCTTTGATTGTGAATCTCTTGAGAGACATTACACCGCCTAAGATCTCTCAGTTTATTCCGATCCCGATGGCCATGGCTGTCCCTTTCTACATAGGAGCTTACTTTGCCATTGACATGTTTGTTGGGACTGTGATATTGTTCGTATGGGAACGAATCAACAGGAAAGATGCAGACGACTTTGCGGGTGCAGTAGCGTCAGGGCTTATCTGTGGGGAT